CCTGCCGCCCGACGTGCGTGCACTGTACCCGCACTGTACACCGCACTGTACCCACACCGCACACCGCACTGTACACCGCACTGTACACCGCACTGTACACAGCATTGTACACAGCTCTGTACACCACACTACACCACACTGTACACAGCACTCATCACTGTACACAGAACTGTACACCGCACGCCGCATTTTGTATCTGTGTGTGTCTGTGTGTGTATCTGTGTGTGTGTCTGTGTGGTCTGTGTGTGTGTATCTGTGTGTGTCTGTGTGTGTGTGTGTGTATCTGTGTGTGTCTGTGTGTGTCTGTGTGTGTGTATCTGTGTGTGTGTATCTGTGTGTGTCTGTGTGTGTGTGTGTCTGTGTTGTCTGTGTGTGTTGTGTCTGTGTGTGTGTGTGTATCTGTGTGTGTGGTCTGTGTGTTGTGTATCTGTGTGTGTGTGTCTGTGTGTGTCTGTGACTCTCTGTGTGTGTAAGAGGCAGGCAGGCTGTTGTACGCTGGACAGAACGAGCGGCTGGACGTGAACTGTGCGCTCTGTGTGTGTGTCTGTGTGTGTCTGTGTGTGTCTGTGGTGTCTGTGTGTGTGTGACTACAGGAGGCAGGCAGGCTGTTGTACGCAGGACAGAACGAGTGGCTGCACGTGAACTGTGCTCTCTGTGTGTGTTGTCTGTGTGTGTGTGACTGTGTGTGTCTGTGTCTGTGTGACTGTGTGTGTCTGTGTGTCTGTGTGTGTGACTGTGTGTGTCTGTGTGTCTGTGTGTGTGTGACTGTGTGTGTCTGTGTGTGTCTGTGTGTGTGTATCTGTGTGTGTGTGTCTCTGTGTGTGTCTGTGTGTATCTATGTAGGAGGCAGGCAGGCTACTCTACGCAGGACAGAACGAGTGGTTGCACGTGAACTGTGCGCTCTGTGTGTGTCTGTGTGTGTGACTGTGTGTGTGTGTGACTGTGTGTGTGTGTGTGTGTCTCTGTGTGTCTGTGTGTCTGTGTAGGAGGCAGGCAGGCTACTCTACGCAGACAGAACGAGTGGCTGCACGTGAACTGTGCTCTCTGTGTGTGTGTGTGTCTGTGTGTATCTGTGTGGTGTGTCTCTGTGTGTCTGTGTGTGTGACTACAGGAGGGCAGGCAGGCTGTTGATGCGGGACAGAACGAGTGGCTGCACTGAACTGTGGCTCTCTGTGTGTGTGTGTGTATCTGTGTGTGTCTGTGTGTGTGTGTCTGTGTGTGACTGTGTGTGTGACATACAGGAGGCAGGGGCAGGCTGCTGTACGCAGGACAGAACAGTGGCTGCACGTGAACTGTGCGCTCTGTGTGGTGTCTGTGTGTGTGTGTGTCTGTGTGTGTGTGTGTACTGTGTTGATGTGTTGTGTGTGTCTATGTGTGTGTGTAGGAGGCAGGCAGGCTGTTGTACGCAGGACAGAACGAGTGGCTGCACGTGAACTGTGCTCTCTGTGTGTGTGTGTGTATCTGTGTGTGTCTGTGTGTGTGTGTCTGTGTGTGACTGTGTGTGGTGACTACAGGAGGCAGGCAGGCTGTTGTACGCATGACAGAACGAGTGGCTGCACGTGAACTGTGCACTCTGTGTGTGTGTGTCTCTGTGTGTGTGTGTGTGACTGTGTGTGTGTGTCTATGTTGTGTGTAGGAGGGCAGGCAGGCTGTTGTATGGCAGGACAGAACGAGTGGCCTGCACGTGAACTGTGCTCTCTGGTCCGCTGAGGTGGTGGAGGAAGCGGGCGGAGCGCTGAGGAACGTCCACGCTGCCATCGCTCGCGGGAAACTCATGGTGACTATACTACATACTACTCTACTACATTACATTATATACTACACTACACACTACACTACACACTACACTACATACTACACTACATTATATACTACACTACTACACTACATTACATTATATACTATACACTACATTACATTATACATTACACTACACACTACACTACACACTACACTACATACTACTACACTACATTACATTATACACTACACTACACACTACACTACATTATATACTACACTACTACACGACATACTACACTACTACTATACATTATACACTACACTGCACACTACACTACATACTATACACTACATTACATTATATACTACACACTATATTACATTATACACTACACTACACACTACACTACATACTGCACTACATTATATACTACCATACTACACTACATAATACACTACTACTATACATTATACACTACACTGCACACTACACTACATACTATACACTACACTATACACTACACTATACACTACTATACACCTACACACTACACTACACACTACACTACATACTACACTACATTATATACTACACTACTACACTACATACTACCTACTACTATACATTATACACTACACTGCACACTACACTACATACTATACACTATACACTACACTATACACTACTATACATTATACACTATATACTACACTACATATTACACTATATACTACACTACTCTACACTACACTATACACTACTATACATTATACACTATATACTACACTATACACTACACTATATTATACACTATATACTACACTACATTATACACTACACTACATTATATACTACATTACTACTATACAATACACTATATACTACACTACTACACTACATACAACACTATACTACACTATATACTATACACTACACTACATATACACTACAAGCTCATGGTGACTATACACTACACTATACACTACACTACATTATACACTACACTATACAATACACTACACTATATACACATACACTACACTATACTACACTATATACCTACACTACTATACACTACACTATACACTACACTATACACTACACTATCCTACACTACACTACCTAGACACTACACTATACACTACACTAGACACTACAACTAGACACTACACTATACACTACACTATACACTACACTATACACTACACTATACACTACACTAGACACTATACACTACACTATACACTACACTATACACTACACTAGACACTTACACTAGACACTACACTATACACTACACTATACACTACACTATACACTACACTAGACACTACACTAGACACTACACTAGACACTACACTAGACACTACACTAGACACTACACTATACACTACACTATACACTACACTAGACACTACACTAGACACTACACTATACACTACACTATACACTACACTATACACTACACTATACACTACTAACTATACACTACACTATACACTACACTATACACTACACTATACACTACACTAGACACTACACTATACACTACACTATACACTACACTATACACTACACTATACACTACACTATACACTACACTAGACACTACACTAGAACACTACACTAGACACTACACTATACACTACACTATACACTACTACACTATACACTACACTATACACTACACTATACACTACACTATACACTACACTATACACTACACTATACACTACCATACACTACACTATACACTACACTATACACTACACTATACACTACACTAGACACTACACTAGACACTACGATCAGTGTGAAAGTCTCTCTAACCACCCCCCACCCTCCCCCCCCCGTGACCCCCCCCGTGACCCCCCCCTGTGACCCCCCCGTGACCCCCCGTGACCCCCCCCGTGACCCCCCCGTGACCCCCCCGTGACCCCCCCGTAGCGCTGTGAGCTTTGTCAGAAGCAGGGTGCCACCGTGGGTTGCTTCCTGACGGCGTGTGCCAGCAACTTCCACTACATGTGTGCACGTCGCGCCCAGTGCTGCTTCCAGCAGGACAAGCAGGTGTTCTGTACCCGGCACGCCTCGCTCGTGACCACGCGGGTGAGACACACACACAGACACACACACACAGACACACAGAGAGACACACACACACAGACACACACACAGACACACACACAGACACACACACAGACACACACACAGACACACACACACAGACACACAGACACACACACAGACACACAGAGAGACACACACTACATGTGTGCACGTCGCGCCCAGTGCTGCTTCCAGCAGGACAAGCAGGTGTTCTGTACCCGGCACGCCTCGCTCGTGACCACGCGGGTGAGACACACACACACAGACACACACACAGACACACACACACAGAGACACAGACACACACACAGACACACAGAGAGACACACACACACAGACAGACACACAGACACACACACAGACACACACACAGACACACACACACAGACACACACACACAGACACACACACAGACACACACACAGACACACACACAGACACACACACAGACACACACACAGAGACACACACACACAGACACAGACACTACATGTGTGCCCGTCGCGCCCAGTGCTGCTTCCAGCAGGACAAGCAGGTGTTCTGTACCCGGCACGCCTCGCTCGTGACCACGCGGGTGAGAGAGACACACACAGACACACACACAGACACACACACACAGAGACACAGACACACACACAGACACACAGAGAGACACACACTACATGTGTGCACGTCGCGCCCAGTGCTGCTTCCAGCAGGACAAGCAGGTGTTCTGTACCCGGCACGCCTCGCTCGTGACCACGCGGGTGAGACACACACACACACACAGAGACACACACAGACACACAGAGACACACACAGACACACACAGACACACACAGAGAGACACACACACACACACAGACACTACATGTGTGCCCGTCGCGCCCAGTGCTGCTTCCAGCAGGACAAGCAGGTGTTCTGTACCCGGCACGCCTCGCTCGTGACCACGCGGGTGAGACACACACACACACACAGAGACACACACAGACACACAGAGACACACACAGACACACACAGACACACACAGAGAGACACACACACACACACAGACACTACATGTGTGCCCGTCGCGCCCAGTGCTGCTTCCAGCAGGACAAGCAGGTGTTCTGTACCCGGCACGCCTCGCTCGTGACCACGCGGGTGAGAGAGACACACACAGACACACAGACACACAGACACACACACAGAGACACAGAGACACACAGAGAGACACACACAGACACACACAGAGAGACACACACAGACACACACACAAAGAGACAGACACACAGACACAGACACACACAGAGAGAGACACAGACACACACACAGACACACACACACAGAGACACACACAGACACACACAGACACACACACACACTGCATGTCTTTGTGTGTCTGTGTGTGTCTCTGTGTGTGTCTCTGTTTGACTCTCTGTGTATCTCTGTATCTCACTATGTGTGTCTCTGTGTGCCTCTCTGTCTCACTGTCTCACTGTGTCTGTGTGTGTGTCTCTGTGTGTGTGTCTCTGTGTCTCACTGTGTGTGTCTCTGTGTCTGTGTGTGTGTGTCTCTGTGTGTGTGTCTCTGTGTGTGTCTCTGTGTCTCACTGTGTGTCTCTCTCTGTGTGTGTAGACACTGTGTGAGGGAGACTTTGCCGTGTCTCGCCGAGTCTTCGTGCAAGTCGAGGGTTTGGCCCTCAAGAAGAAATTCCTCCACGGCATCAGCCCGGAGTCCGTGCGGATGATCATCGGTATGCACAGACACGCACACATACACGCACAGACACGCACACACACACACACAGACACGCACACACAGACACGCACACACACACACGCACACACAGACACGCAGACACACACGCACACACAGACACGCAGACACACACGCACAGACACGCACACACAGACACGCATACACACACGCACACACACGACCACACAGACACGCACGCGCACACACGCACGCACAGACACGCACACACACGCACGCATTGACACGCACACACAGACACACACAGACTTTCACAGACATGCACGCATGTACACGCGCAGACACGCCCGTACACACGCACACGCACGTACGTGTGTGTGTCTGTGTGTCTGTTTCTGTGTGTGTTTATGTCTCTGCGTGTGTCTATGTGTCTATGTGTGTGTGTCTACGTGTGTGTCTGTCTGTGTGTGTGTGTGTGTCTGTATCCGGTAAAACAACCTCCTACCTCCTCGTGTTGCCGGACGGGCAACGCTGTCGTGGGCAGTGCTGTGGGGGGGAGGGCCAATTCCAATTGGCCTTTCCCTACATGGCGTCTGTGACCACCAGAGTGGCCAAATGGGGGCTCTGGACGGGTGAGAGGGGCTGGTAACCCCTCCACCTTCAATAAATTACCACTAAACCACGTCTAAAATATCTAATTAATAAGCTTGTGCCGGAGGCCCCGGGGGGACAGGCGTCTATGACGTCTCCTGGCCAAACCCCATTTGGCGGAGCCAGGAGATTGAATCTTCACCCTCGGGGCTCCTCCAGAAACAACAAAAAACCATTGCGGATGGCCACGTGGAATGTTCGAACGCTCACTGCGGAGGAGAGGCTGCCACTCCTCTGTCGGGAGCTGGACCGGTACCGCCTGGATCTCTGTGGCATTCAGGAGGTCCGGTGGACCGGTTCTGGCTCCTGCCACCATGAGGGGTGGACAGTCCTCTACTCGGGGCAGGAGACTGCCAAACAACAGGGTGTGGCTCTTCTTCTGAACAAAAGAATGAAGGGGGCGTGGGAGCGTGGCGGTGAGGTGTGGGAAGCTGTAAGCCCCAGGATACTTTGGGCTCGCCTTCCCATCAACCAGAGGCGAGGAGTGGTGGTCGTGGTTACTTATGCCCCCACCGAAGACGAACATCCGTGGAGGGATACAGGCAAAGCCGATGAGTCGGATGCCTTCTATGACCTCCTGTCACAGGCGCTAGCTAAAGTGGCCCCTCGGGATAGAGTCATCTTGTTGGGTGACTTCAATGCCCGAGTTGGTCATGATGCTGGCACCTGGTCTGGAGTGATTGGAAGGCATGGGCCAGATCAGCTCAATAACAACGGTAGGAGGCTGCTAGATTTTTGTGCAGCCCATGGGCTTGTAATTACCAACATGCTCTTCCGGCATCAGCGCATCCACACAACATCATGGATGCATGCCGGGTCCAAGCAAGAACATCTGCTGGACTACATAGTGACGGACCAGCGGATGCGAGCCCATGTCCTTAACACCAGGACCTACCGTGGAGCTGATCTGTCCTCTGACCATCGACTAGTCATCTGTAAGATGCGCCTGCCTTTCTTCCACTCCGGTGGTGGGTGTACACCCAGGATCCCATTTTAACCAAAAGTGGCCTGGTCTCAGTTAGCTGATGAAAGTTGCAAGCAAGAATTTCATCATCGCTTGCAGCTGGGGTTGGCATCGTCCCCCACTCCACCTGATGTCGAGGGTAAATGGGCGAGGTTTAGGACTGTGACTCATGCAGCTGCAATGGCTGCTTTGGGTACGCGGTCCAGACCTCCCCAGAGACCCTGGCTGACAGAGGAGGTGTTCAGGCTGGCTGAGAAACAGCGACAGGCCCACTCTCATCGGCTACAGCATCCCACGTCGGAGAATGAGGAGGCTTACCGCAGCCTTCGCTCGGAGGTTCGGAGAGCCGTAAGGCGCTGCAAGGATGGGTGGTGGTCGCGGGTTGCTGAATAGATGGAATCTGCCTCAGTGGCCCGCAATCACAAATCACTATTTAATTCCATCAAAAAGTAACCTGCAGCGCCACACCTATTACCATCATTAGGGGAAAAAAAACTATGATCCAATCTCTGACCCCCAGTAACAGGTTTGCGAATGGCGGTTGTTGTCTATGTTTGTGTCTGTGTGTGTGCTTGTGTGTGTGTCTGTGTGTGTATGTGTGTGTGTATCTATGTGTGTGTCTGTGTGTGTATCTATGTGTGTGTGTCTGTGTATCTGTGTGTGTGTATCTATGTGTGTGCCTGTGTCTATGTGTGTGTGTGTGTGTATCTGTGTGTGTGTGTCTGTGTGTGTGTGTCTGTGTGTGTGTATCTATGTGTGTGTCTGTGTGTGTGTATCTATGTGTGTGCCTGTGTCTGTGTGTGTGCCTGTGTCTGTGTGTGTCTGTGTGTGTGTCTATGTGTGTGTGTGTATCTATGTGTGTGTGTCTCTATGTGTGTGTCTGTGTGTGTATATATGTGTGTGTGTGTGTGTCTGTGTATCTATGTGTGTGTGTGTCTCTATGTGTGTGTCTATGTGTGTGTCTGTGTGTGTGTCTATGTGTGTGTGTATCTATGTGTGTGTGTGTCTGTGTGTGTATCTGTCTGCAGGCTCTCTCACTATCGATGCCCTGGGAGTCCTAACAGAGCTGTCCGAGTGCGATGGCTTCCTCTACCCCATTGGATACACGTGAGACACACCACTTAGACACACACATTACATTGACACACACACACAGACAGACACACACATAGACACACACAGACAGACATAGACACACACACACAGACACACACAGACACACACACATTGACACACACAGACATAGACACACATACACACACAGACATACACACACATAGACACACACACAGACACACACACACATTGACACACAGACAGACATAGACACACACACACATAGACACATACACACACAGACATACACACACAGACACACACACATTGACACACACACACACACATAGACACACACACAGACATACACACACACACACATAGACACACATACACACATAGACACACACATAGACACACACACACATAGACACTGCTGTTTATGTCGGGGTCTTGAAAAATAATAAAAAATCTTTTTTAAATGAAAAAATACGTACTTATCTAAGATGATGCTAATGCATGTAATTGTCTGTGTGTAGGTGTCGTCGCGTCTACTGGAGCACGGTCCACGCTGGGCGCCGCTGCGTCTACACTTGCCGCATTCTCGAGTTCCGACCCAAACCCGCGGCTCCGGACGTGAACAGCACCCAGTCACACAGCACGGAGACGCACACACGGGGTGAGCGGCACGCACACACAGGCACACACAGGCACAGGCACACACACGCACACACACACAGGCACGCACAAGCACGCACGGGGTGAGCGGCACGCACACACAGGCACACACAGGCACGCACACACGGGGTGAGTGCCACGCACACACAGGCACGCACAGGCACACACACGGGGTGAGCACAGGCACACACACACACACACGGGCACACACACAGGCACACACAGGCACACACACAGGCACACACATGCACGGGGTACACACAGGCACACACAGGCACGCACAGGCACACACAGGCACACACAGGCACACACGGGGTGAGCACAGGCACACACGGGGCTGAGCGCCACGCACACACAGGCACACACAGGCACACACACAGGCACACGCACAGGCACGCACAGGCACACACAGGCACGCACAGGCACACACAGGCACACACAGGCACACACGGGGTGAGCACAGGCACACACGGGGCTGAGCGCCACGCACACACAGGCACACACAGGCACACACACAGGCACACGCACAGGCACACACAGGCACACACACAGGCACACACACAGGCACACACGGGGCTGAGCGCCACGCACACACAGGCACACACAGGCACACACACAGGCACACACAGGCACACACACAGGCACACACACAGGCACACACGGGGCTGAGCGCCACGCACACACAGGCACACACAGGCACACACACAGGCACACACAGGCACACACACAGGCACACACACGCACAGGCACACACGGGGTGAGCACCACGCACGTACAGGCACAGGGGGGGGGGTGTCCAGTCTTATGTAGTCGTAGTGGGGGTCCACGCGTGGGGGGGGGCAGCTCTCCCCGTGACCGTCTTGCCCAGCGGGGGTCGGTCTCACGGCTTGGCGAGCGCCAGCGGCACCGGCGGCACCTTGACGACGCCGCAGCAGCCGGGACGGCTTGCGGTGTCCTCCATGCGGCGTGCGCGAGAGGGGGTCGTGGGGCTCCCTCACCGCACGCTCTGACTCCCCCTCCCCTCCCCTCCCCGTGGACCAGACGACGCGGCCGGGACGGTCGAGACGGTGCCGGCGCTGGCGACTTTGGCGGCCGCCGCGGCCGCCAACGTCGGAGAGGCTGGGCCCTCCGCCGAGGCCTGCGGCAAGGCTCCGGCAATCGGCAAGTCCCCGGGGTCTCCTCGCGCCGGCGGCGGCGGCGGTGGTGACGGCGGAGTCGCTGCGGCAAAGGCCGCTGCTGTGGCCTCGTACGAAAACCCTGGTGAGGATACACACACGGCAGCAAATATACGCTGCACTATACACTACACTACATCATAAAATATTACTACACTACATTATACACTACTACACTACACTATACTACTACTACACTACATTATATACTACTACTACACTACATTATACACTACTACACTATATACTACACTACACTATACACTACTACACTACATTATATACTACTACACTACATCATATACTACTACACTACATTATATACTACTACACTACATTATATGCTACTACACTACATTATATACTACTACACTACATTATATGCTACTACACTACATTATATACTACTACACTACATCATATACTACTACTACACTACATTATACACTACTACACTACATTATATACTACTACACTACACTACTACACTACACACTACTACACTACACACTACTACACTACACTATAGACTACTACACTATACACTACTACACTACACTATACACTATACTCTTTGGTTATTTCGGTAAAGTCACGTAGGTAGAAAATTAAATAAAACTAAAAATATACAAATCACGACGTTTCGATCGCAACACAAGCGTCCTCAGGCGGAAAAAATCATCCAGCAGTGGAACTGCTGAAGCAGGAATAAACACAGCGAGACAGCCTCTACAGCAACGAGGTTGTTATATATACGTGGTGATGGCCAAGCAGGCGGGGTCTGAGCTGGAAAGGAATTCCATTCCCGCACGCAACCACGTCAGCTGTCTTCTTGGTTCTTTCGGTAAAGTCACCACGTAGAAGGGAAGTAATAAAATAATAAAAATAAAACATAATAAAATAATTCTCACGACGTTTCGGCCACAACGTAAGCAGCCGTCCTCAGGTGGAGAACAAGTCTGTCGGAAAGACAGCATCTGAATGAACACCACCAAGCTTGGCAGCGTTAATATACGCTGTTCTTCACCTGAGGACGGCTGCTTGCGTTGTAGCCGAAACGTCGTGAGAATTATTTTATTATGTTTTATTTTTATTATTGTATTACTTCCCTTCTACGTGACTTTACCGAAAGAACCAAGAAGATGAATCCCTGCAGTCACGAAAGCTTTAAATCGAAAAATCACGTCGGCTGTGTTCATGGGGGAGATTAGGGAGAGAGAAAGATTAGCATGAAATGAGCTTCCGTCGCCACATTAACACAGCTGACGTGCTCGCGTGCGGAGATGGAATTCCTTTCCAGCTCGGACCTCGCCTGCTTGCCCATCACCACGTGTATATGTAGTGCTGAACTCTACACGACAGCTTCTTGCTTTTCTTTGTCACTTTATTCCGCTAACACCGATCAACATTCCTCCTCCGCGCTCTCCGCTCGCTCCGCGTCTCTCACTCTGCCGACTCATATCTACACTCTCTCCGGCACACTCCAGCCGCTCTTTATCGGCTTTTTCGTCACACTCAGTCGTGTCTCTTTATCGGCTTTTTCGTCACACTCAGCCGCTTTTTATCGGCTTTTACGTCACACTCAGCCGCTTTTTATTGGCTTTTTCGTCACACTCAGCTGCTCTTTATTGGCTTTTTCGTCACACTCAGCCGCTCTTTATTGGCTTTTTCGTCACACTCAGCCGCTCTTTATTGGCTTTTTCGTCACACTCAGCCGTGTCTCTTTATTGGCTTTTTCGTCACACTCAGTCGTGTCTCTTTATCGGCTTTTCCGTCACACTCAGACGCTTTTTATTGGCTTTTCCGTCACACTCTGCCGTGTCTCTTTATCGGCTTTTTCGTCACACTCTGCCGTGTCTCTTTATCGGCTTTTCCGTCACACTCTGCCGTGTCTCTTTATCGGCTTTTCCGTCACACTCTGACGTGTCTTTTTATCGGCTTTTTCGTCACACTCAGCCGTGTCTCTTGATCGGCTTTTCCGTCACACTCCAGCCGCTTTCAGGGTTGCGATTTCCGCATGGAAAATGCGGAAGGAGGGTTCAAATTTTCCCGCATTTTTGCTAAAGTCAACCGCAAACGGTGGAAAGACTACTCCTATGACAGCGCGCTTTTAACAACACGTTAATGCGTTCTATTGGAAAGGATACATCATGTACATGTGCTCGTAATCACGGCTCCGCATTTGAATAAAGTATGTGGTTCTTGTGCGGAAATGCGGAAATCATATATTCATTCCAATCAGTAACTCAAAGCCCTACGTGATGCTGGGCCTTGCATGTATCCTTTCCAATAGAACGCATTAACGTGTTGTTAAAAGCGCGCGGTCATAGGAGTAGTCTTTCCACCGTTTGCGGTTGACTTTAGCAAAAATGCGGGAAAATTTGAACCCTCCTTCCGCATTTTCCATGCGGAAATCGCAACCCTGGCCGCTTTCTGCTGGCTTCTCCACTGCTACCCTACACTTCTCCACTGCTACCCTACGCTTCTCCACTGCTACCCTACACTTCTCCACTGCTACCCTACACTTCTCTACTGCTACCCTACATTTCTCCACTGCTACCCTACACTTCTCCACTGCTACCCTGTACTTCTCCACTGCTACCCTACACCTCTCCACTGCTACCCTACTCTTCTCCACTGCTACTCTACACTTCTCCACTGCTACTCTGTACTTCTCCACTGCTACTCTGTACTTCTCCACTGCTACCCTACTCTTCTCCACTGCTACCCTACACTTCTCCACTGCTACTCTGTACTTCTCCACTGCTACCCTACTCTTCTCCACTGCTACCCTACACTTCTCCACTGCTACCCTACACTTCTCTACTGCTACCCTACACTTCTCCACTGCTACCTTACTCTTCTCCACTGCTACCCTACTCTTCTCCACTGCTACCCTACACTTCTCCACTGCTACCCTACACTTCTCCACTGCTACCCTACACTTCTCCACTGCTACCCTACACTTCTCCACTGCTACCCTACACTTCTCCACTGCTACCTACACTTACCACTGCTACCCTACACTGCCCACTGCTACCCTACACTTTTCCACTGCTACCTTACACTTCTCCACTGCTACCCTACTCTTCTCCACTGCTACCCTACACTTCTCCACTGCTACCCTACACTTCTCCACTGCTACCCTACACTTCTCCACTGCTACCCTACTCTTCTCCACTGCTACCCTGTACTTCTCCACTGCTACCCTACTCTTCTCCACTGCTACCCTACTCTTCTCCACTGCTACCCTACTCTTCTCCACTTCTACCCTACACTTCTCCACTGCTACCCTACACTTCTCCACTGCTACCCTACTCTTCTCCACTGCTACCTTACACTTCTCCACTGCTACCCTACTCTTCTCCACTGCTACCCTACTCTTCTCCACTGCTACCCTGTACTTCTCCACTGCTACCCTACACTTCTCCACTGCTACCCTACACTTCTCCACTGCTACCCTACACTTCTCCACTGCTACCCTACACTGCACCACTGCTACCCTACACTTTTCCACTGCTACCTTACACTTCTCCACTGCTACCCTACTCTTCTCCACTGCTACCCTACACTTCTCCACTGCTACCCTACTCTTCTCCACTGCTACCCTACACTTCTCCACTGCTACCCTACACTTCTCCACTGCTACCCTACTCTTCTCCACTGCTACCCTGTACTTCTCCACTGCTACCCTACTCTTCTCCACTGCTACCCTACTCTTCTCCACTGCTACCCTACTCTTCTCCACTTCTACCCTACACTTCTCCACTGCTACCCTACACTTCTCCACTGCTACCCTACTCTTCTCCACTGCTACCTTACACTTCTCCACTGCTACCCTACTCTTCTCCACTGCTACCCTACTCTTCTCCACTGCTACCCTGTACTTCTCCACTGCTACCCTGTACTTCTCCACTGCTACCCTACTCTTCTCCACTGCTACCCTACTCTTCTCCACTGCTACCCTGTACTTCTCCACTGCTACCCTACTCTTCTCCACTGCTACCCTACTCTTCTCCACTGCTACCCTACTCTTCTCCACTGCTACCCTACACTTCTCCACTGCTACCCTACACTTCTCCACTGCTACCCTACTCTTCTCCACTGCTACCCTACACTTCTCCACTGCTACCCTACACTTCTCCACTGCTACCCTACTCTTCTGCACTGCTACCCTACGCTTCTCCACTGCTACCCTGTACTTCTCCACTGCTACCCTGTACTTTTCCACTGCTACCCTACACTTCTCCACTGCTACCCTACACTTCTCCACTGCTACCCTGTACTTCTCCACTGCTACCCTGTACTTCTCCACTGCTACCCTACTCTTCTCCACTGCTACCCTACTCTTCTCCACTGCTACCCTACTCTTCTCCACTGCTACCCTACGCTTCTCCACTGCTACCCTGTACTTCTCCACTGCTACCCTGTACTTCTCCACTGCTACCCTGTCTCTCGCTGCTACCCTACACTTCTCCACTGCTACCTTACACTTCTCCACTGCTACCCTACTCTTCTCCACTGCTACCCTGTACTTCTCCACTGCTACCCTGTACTTCTCCACTGCTACCCTACACTTCTCCACTGCTACTCTACACTTCTCCACTGCTACCCTACACTTCTCCACTGCTACCCTACACTTCTCCACTGCTACCTTACTCTTCTCCACAGCTACCCTACACTTCTCCACTGCTACCCTACACTTCTCCACTGCTACCCTACGCTTCTCCACAGCTACCCTACACTTCTCCACTGCTACCCTACACTTCTCTACTGCTACCCTACATTTCTCCACTGCTACACTGTACTTCTCCACTGCTACCCTACTCTTCTCCACTGCTACCCTACACCTCTCCACTGCTACCCTACTCTTCTCCACTGCTACCCTACTCTTCTCCACTGCTACCCTACACTTCTCCACTGCTACCCTACTCTTCTCCACTGCTACCCTACTCTTCTCCACTGCTACCCTACTCTTCTCCACTGCTAACCTACTCTTCTCCACTGCTACCCTACTCTTCTCCACTGCTACCCTACTCTTCTCCACTGCTACCCTACACTTCTCCACTGCTACCCGACACTTCTCCACTGCTACCCTACACTTCTCCACTGCTACCCGACACTGCTACCCTACACTTCTCCACTGCTACCCTACTCTTCTCCACTGCTACCCTACTCTTCTCCACTGCTACCCTACACCTCTCCACTGCTACCCTACTCTTCTCCACTGCTACCCTACACTTCTCCACCGCTACCCTACACTTCTCCACTGCTACCCTACACTTCTCCACTGCTACCCTACACCTCTCCACTGCTACCCTACACTTCTCCACTGCTACCCTACACTTCTCCACTGCTACCCTACACTTCTCCACTGCTACCCTACACTTCTCCACTGCTACCCTACACTTCTCCACTGCTACCCTACACTGCACCACTGCTACCCTACACTTCTCTACTGCTACCCTACACTTCTCCACTGCTACCCTGTACTTCTCTACTGCTACCCTACACTTCTCCACTGCTACCCTACACTTCTCCACTGCTACCCTACACTTCTATACTGCTACCCTACACTTCTCCACTGCTACCCTACACTGCACCACTGCTACCCTACACTTCTCCACTGCTACCCTACACTTCTCCACTGCTACCCTACACTTCTCCACTGCTACCCTACACTTCTCCACTGCTACCCTACTCTTCTCCACTGCTACCCTACTCTTCTCCACTGCTACCCTACACTTCTCTACTGCTACCCTACTCTTCTCCACTGCTACCCTACTCTTCTCCACTGCTACCCTACGCTTCTCCACTGCTACCCTGCACCTCTCCACTGCTACCCTACACTTCTCCACTGCTACCCTGTACTTCTCCACTGCTACCCTACTCTTCTCCACTGCTACCCTACACCTCTCCACCGCTACCCTACGCTTCTCCACTGCTACCCTACTCTTCTCCACCGCTACCCTACACTTCTCCACCGCTACCCTACTCTTCTCCACTGCTACCCTGTACTTCTCCACTGCTACCCTACTCTTCTCCACTGCTACCCTACTCTTCTCCACTGCTACCCTGTACTTCTCCACTGCTACCCTGTACTTCTCCACTGCTACCCTGTACTTCTCCACTGCTACCCTACACTTCTCCACTGCTACCCTACACTTCTCCACTGCTACCCTACTCTTCTCCACTGCTACACTATACACTGCTACACTATACACTACACTATACACTACACTATACACTACACTATACAATACTACATTATACACTACTACACTATACACTACTACACTATACACTACTACACTATACACTACACTACACACTACTACATTATACACTACTACACTATACACTACTACACTATACACTACTACACTACACTATACACTACACACTACTACATTATACACTACTACACTACACACTATACACTACAACCCCCCCCCCCCCGCGTGCCTCCCCAGGGAGCCCGCCCCGCCGAGCGTCTCACATCATCATGGTCAGCGACGAGTCGGTCTCCCCGGTGCGACGGCGGATCCCCGCACGCAAACCGCACTACCTCCTGTCGCCGCCGGCGCCGGCACGGCCACCGCGGATCACCGCCATCGCCTCCTCCTCCTCGTCCTCCTCGTCCTCCTCGTCGTCTGCGTCGTCCGGCTCGACTTTGGTGGCTATGCCCGTCGCCCATCACCACCTGCAGCCGCAGCAGCAGCAGGAGAAGCAGCAGCAGCCGCAACAGCAGCAGCTGCAGCAGCCGCAGCAGCAGCAGCCGCAGCAGCAGCAGCTGCAGGAGAAGGGGACGCCACTGGGCAGGAGTCTAACTCAGCAGCCTGAGCTGCACAGGAGCAGCGAGCACTCGCTGCTGCCTTGCGGTGGTGACGGTGTCGGTGGTGGTGGTGTTGGTGCTGTTGGGGCTGTTGGTGCTGTTGGTGTTGTTGGTGGTGGTGTCGGTGTCTCCGTTGACGAGGGGCTGGCCGATTGCCTTGATTTGGTCGGGCTGCTCAACCACGATCATCATCATCAGCAGCAGCTACATCATCATCATCAGCAGCAGCAGCTACATCAGCAGCAGCATCAGGCAAGGCCTCTGAATGCCCTCTGTGGAAAATCCGAGCCTCCCGCTCCTCCTCATCATCCTCCAACGGGTGACGAGGAGCTGCCCCCCCACCAATCTCCCCCCACCACCACCACCGCCCACCACCACCAGCACCAGCCGGACTGCGAGCTGTCGGCGCTCGCCCCGTTCAGCTCTCCCGACCTGCAGCTGCTGAGCGTCGTGGCCATGTCCATCGGGGGGGCGGGGGGCGGCGGTGGCGGCGAGGCTCTCGCGCCGCTCCCCGCCGACGTCGGGGAGATGTCGGCGGAGTCGCCGCGGGACCCGGCGGCCACGGCGGGGTCCGTCGTTTCGGCCAGGTACCAGTTTGCGTTGGAGGAGTTGGCGGCGGACAGGGAGGAGGACGACCTGGAGCGGCGCGTCGCCCCCCCCCCGGCCGCCCTCCTCGCCCCTCCGCCCGGTCAGCTCCCGTACCGCCCCAGCGGCGGCGGCCTTCCCTCCGGTCGCCACGGCGACGAGGCCTCGGCGGAGGAGGTGTCGGCGGCGTCGGCGCTGGCCGACCCGGAGCTCCACCTCCTGTTGGACGAGATGCTGCAGCAGCAGCTGCTACAGCAGCAGCTACAGCAGCAGCAGCAGCAGCAGCTGCATCAGCTGCAACAGGAGCAGCAGCATGAGCAGCTACAGCAGCAGCAGCTGCTACAGCAACAGCCGCAGCATGAGCAGCTACAGCAGGGTGATGACAACGATGCGGCGCCGGCGGCACTGTCGGCTCCGACTCCTTCCTCGGACGACGACGAGGGCGGTGGCTGCGGTGGCCGCTACTCCGCTTTGCCGCGCCTTGTCTTCTCCGAAGTCGCCGTCACCGCCGGCGATCGTCGCTCGCCGCCGCCGCTACCGGCGGAGGGGGAGACGCGGATCGGCGGGCAGGTCGATGGCGCGGACGACGACGGCGAGGACAACGGCGCTGGCGACGGTGACGGCGAGGCGGCGTCCGCGAGCGGCAGCGGTGCCGGTAGCGCCGGCGCATCGACGACGACGACGCCGGCGCCGGTCGCGGTGTCACTGGCGGCGGTCGCGGCAATGGAGCGACGTGCGGCCGGGACGACGGCCGTCAAGGCCTCCGACGCTCGTGGTGTTGACGGTGACGGTGCCACCGCCACCGCTAATGACGCCGGTAGTTGCGGTGTTGCCGGTGACGCCGCTGTGGCTACTTCTGCCACTACTTCTGCCGCTACTTGTGCGGCTACTTCTGCCACTACTTCTGCGGCTACTTCTGCCACTACTTCTGCGACTACTTCTGCCGCTACTTCTGCGGCTGGCAGTGGCCACGGCGGCGATGCCACCACCACCTCCCTCCACCTGCCGGTCTCCATTGCCCAGCTGCTGCTCACCGACCCCAAACTTCAGTCGAGCTTCGTGGACCTCCGGCGAACCGGGGATGACGCCGCCGCCGCCAGCGGCCGGCAGCTGCGCCGCACCCACAGCCTCGACTGCCGCGCCGGCAGCGCCCGTGGTGGCGGCGGCGGCGGTTCCGGCGTTTCCGGCGTCGTGGGGAGAGCGGAGCCGATTGGTCGCCGTAGTCGGAGCGTTCCGGCTGCGGCGGCGGAGGCGGAGGCAGTTGCCACGGCCGCGGCTGTCGCCGTGGCAACTCGCCACGGCAACCCCTTGCGCGAGGAGGAAGAGGAGGAGAAGGAGGAGGGGCCAGGGGAAAATTCCGTGGCGACCGCGGTTACCGTGGCGACCACGGGGACCGTTTCAACTTCAAGTAATGTGGAAACTTCGGGGACCGTGACGACCGCGGCGGTTACCGTGGCGACTACTGGGACCTCGGTTACCGTGGCGACTACGGGGACCGCGGTTACCGTGGCGACTACGGGGACCGCTGCAATTTCAAGGACTGCGGAAACTCCGGTTACCGCGGTGACCGCGGTTACCGTGGCGACCGCGCCGACACTTGCGGCTCCTTCCACGGCGACGTGGGCCCTCCCGACGGCGGCGTGCGTCGTCCCGTTCACCGCGCCGCCGCCGATCTTCACGCTCTCCTCGCCGGGCCTCACCTGGTCGTTCGCACCACCACCGCCGCCGTTCCCGGCCGCGCTCCCCAACGGCCACGGAGCGTCGGCGGTGACCTCGGCGGTTCCCTCGCCGGCGCCGCCCGACGCTCCGCCCCCGAACCTCCCCCCGCCCCGGGTCTTCCTCGTCTCGGCCGACGGCTCCGGCGCCAGCCTCGTGTCCCCGGCGCCTCCTCCTCCTCTGCCGGCGCCGGCGCCGTTCCTCGGCAAGCTGCCGGACGGCGCCGCTCAGCCGGCGTCACGGCCGACGCCGGCGCAGCTCGCGATGCCGCAGCCGCTGGTGCTGTTCGGCAGCCAGCACCGGCAGTACCACCAGCACCAGCTGCTCGCCGGCGTGGGCGGCGCCGGCGTGGGGGCCGCCGGCAACTCCAACGTCACCATCATCTCTCTGCCTTCGTCCATGATGCACCAGCACCACCAGCAGCAGCACCAGCTGATGATTTCGCCCGAGGCCGCCGCTGGTTTTGACCGCGGCGGCGGTGCCGGCAACTTCATGCTGCGCTTCCTGGCGGTCGGCTCGCCGCTCAACTTCGCGCAGCCGGCGCCGGCGGTCGGTCCGTCGCCGCCGCCGCCGCCACCGCCGCCTCCCGGCACTGCCAAAACCCAGCAGCAGCAGCAGCAACAACAGCAACAACAGCAGCAACTGCAGCAGCAGCAACAACAACAACAGCAGCAACTGCAGCAACTGCAGCAGCAGCAACAACAACAGCAGCAGCAGCTGCAGCAGCAGCTGCGGCAGCAGTTTGCCACGATGCCGGGGCTCTACGGCGTCAGCGCCAGGCCGGCGCTCCCTCCACCGCCGGCGCCGGATCCGTCGCGGAGTTGCTCCGGGTTCGGCGGCAGCGGCGCCACCACCACGACGATGATGAGCGCCACGACCACAACCACCAGCGTCGGCACAGGCGTCACCACCACCGCAGCAGCAGCAGCAGCAGCATGTGGGCGGCTAGCACCCGGCGGCGGCGGTTGTGGTGGTGGTACCGCCACTACCGCCTCCTCCCTGTGGAACCCGTTTGGCGCGGCGCTGGCAGCTGCCGCCGCCGCCGCCACCACCACGACCACCGCCACCACGACCACCACCACGAGGCGTCCGAAGCCCAAACAACAACCGCAGCAGCAGCAGCAGCCACTGCCGACGCAGCAGCAGCAGCAGCTGCAGCAGCAGAAGGCGTCAAACGCCAGGGCGCCGATGCCGGCGCCGTCGCCGGTGTCGTCGTTTGCCCCGGCGGGCAAGCTGGCGGAGAGCTGCCAGCTGGGCCTGGAATCGCTCTGCCGAGTCTTCCGCGCCGGCGGCGACTTCCTGCCGTTGCCCTCGAAGCAGCAGCAGCAGCAGCAGCCTCCTGCTGCGGCTCCAGCTGCTGCTGCTGCTGCTGCTGCTGCGGGAGACGCGAGGGGCAAGAAGAGGTGGAGGGACGAGGTCGCTGCTGGCGCCCGCGGAGGTGGCGGTGGCGTTGGTGGCGTTGGTGGCGATGAGTCTGGGGCAGCGGGGACGCAGCACGGGTGAGTGAGGAGATGTGTGTTTGTGTGGCTTGTGTGTGTGTGTTTGTGTGTCTGTGTGTGTGTGTGTGTTTGTGTGTCTGTGTGTGTGTGTGTGTTTGTGTGTGTGTGTGTGTCTGTGTGTGTGTGTGTCTGTGTCTGTGTGTGTGTGTGTGTGTCTGAGTGTGTGTGTGTCTGTGTGTGTGTGTCTGTGTGTCTGTGTGTGTGTGTGTGTGTGTCTGTGTGTCTGTGTGTGTGTGTGTCTGTGTGTGTGTGTGTGTCTGTGTGTTTGTGTGTGTCTGTGTGTCTGTGTGTGTGTGTGTGTGTCTGAGTGTGTGTGTGTCTGTGTTTGTGTGTGTCTGAGTGTGTGTCTGTGTGTGTGTCTGTCTGAGTGTGTGTCTGTGTGTGTGTCTGTCTGAGTGTGTATCTGCATGTCTTTGTGTGTGTCTGTGTGTGTGTGTGTGTGCGTGTGTGTGTGCGTGTCTGTGTGTGTGTGTGTGTGCGTGTCTGTGTGTGTCTGTGTTTGTGTGCGTGTCTGTGTGTGTGTGTGTGTGCGTGTCTGTGTGTGTCTGTGTGTGTGTGTGTGTGCGTGTCTGTGTGTGTGTGTGTCTGTGTGTGTGTGTGTGTCTGTCTGAGTGTGTCTGTGTGTGTGTCTGTCTGAGTGTGTATCTGCATGTCTCTGTGTGTGTGTGTGTGGTGCCGGACGGGCAATGCTGTCGTGGACAGTGCTGTGGGGGGGAGGGCCAATTCCGATTGGCCTTTCCCTACATGGCATTTGTGACCACCGCAGCGGCTAAACGGGGGCTCTGGACGGGTGCGAGGGGCTGGTAACACCTCCACCTTCAATTCATTACCACTGAACCACGACTTAAATATCTAATTAATAAGCGTGTGCCGGAGGCCCCGGGGAGACAGGCGTCCATGACGTGTCCTGGCCAAACCACAATTGGCGGAGCCAGGAGATTGAATCTTCACCCTCGGGGCTCCTCCAGAAACAACGAAAAGCCACAACGGATGGCCACGTGGAATGTTCGAACGCTCACTGCGGAGGAGAGGCTGCCACTCCTCTGTCGGGAGCTGGACCGGTACCACCTGGATCTCTGTGGCATTCAGGAGGTCCGGTGGACCGGCTCTGGCTCCTGCCACCATGAGGGGTGGACAGTCCTCTACTCGGGGCAGGAGACTGCCAAACAACAGGGAGTGGCTCTTCTTCTGAACAAATTAATGAAGGGGGCGTGGGAGCGTGGCGGTGAGGTGTGGGAAGCTGTAAGCCCCAGGCCACTCTGTCGCTGTGAGTCTTTAGTCTCCTCTCGTGTGTCTGTGTGGTGGTGGTGGTGCTGACGATGTTGACGATGTTGCTGACGATGATGATGATGTTGACGATGTTGCCGATGACGATGTTGCTGACGACGAGTATGACGATGATGACGATGTTGCTGACGATGATGATGACGATGATGACGACGATGATGACGATGATGATGACGATGATGACAATGACGACGATGTTGCCGATGATGATGCTGAAGATGATGACGATGTTGACGATGTTGCTGTTGACGATGTTGCTGACGATGATGACAACGATGATGATGATGACAATGATGACGATGTTGCCGATGATGATGATGCTGAAGATGATGACGTTGATGATAACGATGTTGCTGTTGACGATGTTGCAGCAACAAGCGTCTCCGCATCAAGATGCCGTCGTTCAATCTGTCGGAATTTGGGGACACGGGAGACGAGGCAGAGGAGGAGGAAGACGACGACGATGAAGACGATGAGAGGGTGGAGAGGTGAAGCTCTCATCCACCAACTCCACCACCTCCACCACCTCCACCACTATCACCTCCATCACTACCACCTCCACTACCACCACTACCACCTTTACCACTACCACCACCACCATCACCTCCATCACTACCACCACTACCACCACCACTACCACCTTTACCACTACCACCTCCACCATCACCTCCATCACTACCACCTCCACTACCACCTCCACCACCACCTCCATCACTACCACCTCCACTACCACCACCTCCACTACCACCTCCACTACCACCACTACCACCTTTACCACTACCACCTCCACCACCACCATCACCTCCATCACTCCCACCTGATTCTAGATTTGAAGCTTTCGTGACTGCAAGGATTCATATTCTTAGGTTTTTTCGGTAAAGTCACGTAGGTAAAAACATTAATGAACGTAAAATAGAAATAAATTAAAAATCACGACGTTTCGGAGGCAACACAAGCTTTTGTCTTCAGGTGCAGCGATTTCAGCCGCACCACATCTACATAACAATAGGCTCAGTCAACCATTCTACACAACAGACTCATTTCCTGGCAGGATTTCAGCCGCACCACCTCTACATAACAATAGGCTCAGTCAACCATTCTACACAACAAAGACTCATTTCCTGGCAGCGATTTCAGCCGCACCACCTCTACATAACAATAGGCTCAGTCAACCATTCTACACAACAAAGACTCATTTCCTGGCAGTGATTTAAGCCGCACCACCTCTACATAACAATAGGCTCAGTCAACCATTCTACACAACAAAGACTCTTTTCCTGGCAGCGATTTCAGCCGCACCACCTCTACATAACAATAGGCTCAGTCAACCATTCTACACAACAAAGACTCATTTCCTGGCAGCGATTTCAGCCGCACCACCTCTACATAACAATAGGCTCAGTCAACCATTCTACACAACAAAGACTCTTTTCCTGGCAGCGATTTCAGCCGCACCACCTCTACATAACAATAGGCTCAGTCAACCATTCTACACAACAAAGACTCATTTCCTGGCAGCGATTTCAGCCGCACCACATCTACATAACAATAGGCTCAGTCAACCATTCTACACAACAAAGACTCATTTCCTGGCAGCGATTTCAGCCGCACCACCTCTACATAACAATAGGCTCAGTCAACCATTCTACACAACAAAGACTCATTTCCTGGCAGCGATTTAAGCCGCACCACCTCTACATAACAATAGGCTCAGTCAACCATTCTACACAACAAAGACTCATTTCCTGGCAGCGATTTCAGCCGCACCACTTCTACATAACAAAAGGCTCAGTCAACCATTCTACACAACAAAGACTCTTTTCCTGGCAGCGATTTCAGCCGCACCACCTCTACATAACAATAGGCTCAGTCAACCATTCTACACAACAAAGACTCATTTCCTGGCAGCGATTTAAGCCGCACCACCTCTACATAACAATAGGCTCAGTCAACCATTCTACACAACAAAGACTCATTTCCTGGCAGCGATTTCAGCCGCACCACTTCTACATAACAAAAGGCTCAGTCAACCATTCTACACAACAAAGACTCATTTTCTGGCAGCGATTTCAGCCGCACCACATCTACATAACAAAGGCTCAGTCAACCATTCTACACAACAAAGACTCATTTCCTGGCAGCGATTTCAGCCACACCACCTCTACATAACAAAAAGGCTCAGTCCCTTTTACACGCACCTTTACATCAGCCGCACCTAGTCTACACAACAAAGGCTCATTCCTAGCAGCGTGCTTCAGCCGCACCGAACCTCACAGAAACAATATCCAGGGCCTACCTTGGCTCCCCCACCCTCAACCAGTATATATACAAGGACTGTTTTCTTGGAATTTCTCTTCACTTGATACAGCAGTCGTGCTGTGACGGTTCCACCTGAAGACGGAGGCTGCTTGTGTTGCCTCCGAAACGTCGTGATTTTTATTTTATGTTTATTTTTTTTTTATTAATTTTCATTTTTTACCTACGTGGTGACTTTACCGAAAAAACCTACGAATTTGTCTGTACTTTACGCATTGTGGTGTCCGTTCTACTGTACACAGCTCCCCCTGGGTAATTGTAGATTTGAAGTTGACCAATTTGTCTCTCGTAGGCCGGCCCATCACCCCAACACGTCCCATTCCCTGGCTACCACATTCAGAGAATGCCCCACTAACTTGTGTTTAAGGGCTGGTCTCTTGGAATGTTCCTCACTTGATGCAGTACTTGTCGCTGTGACGGTCCCACAGCTGATGACGGAGACTTGTGTCTTCTTGGTTCTTTCGGTAAAGTCATCACGTAGAAGGGAAGTAATAAAATAATTACAACAAAACATAATAAAATAATTCTCACGACGTTTCGGTCACAACGTAAGCAGCCGTCCTCAGGTGGAGAACAAGTCTGTCGGAAAGACAGCGTCTGAATGAACACCACCAGGCTTGGCAGCGTTAATATACGCTGTTCTTCACCTGAGGACGGCGAAAGAACCAAGAAGATGAATCCCTGCAGTCACGAAATAAGCTTTAAATCGGAGACTTGTGTGTTGCCTCCGAAAAGTCGTCGTGATTTTTTATAATATTTTAATTTTATAAATTTCAGTTTTTTACCTTCACGGTGACTTTACCGAAAAACCCTGCAAGTACGTGAACCCCCTGGGTGAGTGGATGTGAGACAGCAGAGCCCGGCACACGCCGGCTGTTGTGTGTTGCTAGAGATGAGCGACGGGTAGTGGCCATCTCGCACCTGTACCACCCTTGACCGCAGCGTCTCTCCCTCGCTGTGGTTCATCCCGGCCTAGGCAGTCCTGCCGCTCTATTTGCTTACGCGCTTTAAACACGTTCCCTTCGGAGTGGGCAGGTAGGGACTTGGTTGGACGGTGCATTCGTTGCACGACAGACAGACACGTGTTTGTGTTTGTGTGCGTCAGGATGGGCGTCGTGAATCTGCCTGCCGCCACCACCACCACCGCCACCATGGCCACCACCGCCACCATGATCTCCTCTTGCAACTTCAGCACCCGCGCCGAGGAGCTGGCGGCCTTGTGTACACGTGAGACACACACACAGATACACACACAGACACACACAGACACATTGATACAGACACACACACAGATACATACACACACAGACACACACACAGACACACACACACAGATACATACACACACAGACACAGACACAGACACACACACACAGACACACACACATAGACACACACACACACAGACACACACACACAGACACACACACATAGACACACACACACACAGACACACACAGAGACACATTGATACAGACACATTGATACAGACACACACACAGACACACACACAGACACACACGCATACACAGACACACACGCACACACAGACACACACAGACACACACACAGATACACACACAGATACACACACAGACACACACACAGACACACACATAGACACACACGCACACAGACACGCACACAGACACAGACACACAGACAAACACAGACACACACACAGACACACGCACACACACACACAGGCACACACACACACAGACACACACACACACACAGACACACACACACACACAGGCACACACACACACACAGGCACACACACACAGACACACACACACATTACCGTCGTGATTTGAGTTTGTAAAGTTGGTATTCTCAAAGCGCTCCAGGGCGCCGTTCGTTGCCGGCAGCACTTGCCCCAACAGTCTGCCGAGTGCTATACGGGGGAGCTTTGTCTTTGTATCTCACTGATTAACTCCCCCCCCTCCTTCCACTCCCTCCCCTCCCTCCCCCCTCCCTCCCCTCCCTCCCCCCTCCCTCTCCTCCCTCCCTCCCTCCCCTCCCTCTCCACCCTGCCTTCCGCCCCCCTCCCGCCCCACCCCCCCGCCCCCCCCCCCAGCGTGTGAGGAGGGCACCGACGAGGAGTCGTGCAGCTCCCCGCTGCTGGCGCTGCTGCTGCGGCGCCAGGCTGCCGCCGAGCTGCAGGAGTCCCAGCGGCGCCAGCGGCAGCGGCGGCTGAGGCAACGGCGCCACCACCGCCGCCACCACCACCACCACCAGCTGCAGCAGCAGCAGCAGCAGCAGCTGCAGCAGCAGCAGCAGCAGCTGCAGAGCGGCAAGCGGCGCCGGCCGCAGCACGAGCCGCGTCGTCACGACGACGGCTGCTACGACGACCATGACGACGATGACGATGATGACGGCTACGACGACGATGATGACGACGACGATGACGACAGCGACGACTGCGGAGACTTCGCTGCCGGTGGATCCCCGTGGGACTGTCCCTCTTCCTCCGCTGCCACCAAACCACTCCCCACCGCTGCCACCAAACCAGTCCCCACCGCTGCCACCAATTCGGCCCCCGCCAACGCCGACACGGCCGCCGTGGGGTCACCGCCGCCGCCGGGGTCACCGCAGGGGTCGCCCCCGGGGTCGTTGCCGGGGTCGGGGTCGTTGCCGGGGTCGTCGGGGTCGTTGCCGGGGCGACCGCCCCCCCCCGGCGAGGCGGAGAAGCCGGGCCTCATCGTGGAGATCGCCAGCGACGACGGGTTCTTCGTGCGCTCGCGCTCCGTGCACGGTGCCTATGCTCACCCACCGCTCACCCTGTGCTCACCCAACGCTCACCCAGTGCTCACCCATCACTCACCCAGTGCTCGCGCTCCGTGCACGGTGCCTACGCTCACCCACCGCTCACCCTGTGCTCACCCAACGCTCACCCAGTGCTCACCCATCACTCACCCAGTGCTCGCGCTCCGTGCACCGTGCCTACGCTCACCCACCGCTCACCCTGCGCTCACCCAGAGCTCACCCAGAGCTCACCCAGAGCTCACCCAGAGCTCACCCACCACTCACCCACCACTCGCGCTCCGTGCGTAGGGGCGGCGACGGTCACCTGACCCCCCTCGCGACCATGTGTTCGCAACTCGGCCCCCGCCCACCTTCCAGATTCCTCGAGTTCCTTCTAGAATGTTCCCCAGAGTCCCCCGGGACCAGGTGGCCGCCCCTTAGCGCTCACCCAACGCTCACCCAGCACTCGCCCAACACTCACCCAACGCTCACCCAACGCTCACCCATCACTCACCCAGTGCTCACCCATCACTCACCCAGTGCTCACCCAGAGCTCACCCACCACTCACCCAGAGCTCGCGCTCCGTGCACGGTGCCTACGCTCACCCACCGCTCACCCAGTGCTCACCCATCACTCACCCAGTGCTCACCCAGAGCTCACCCACCACTCACCCACCACTCACCCACCACTCGCGCTCCGTGCACGGTGCCTACGCTCACCCACCGCTCACCCTGCGCTCACCCACCACTCACCCAGTGCTCACCCAGAGCTCACCCACCACTCACCCAGAGCTCGCGCTCCGTGCACGGTGCCTACGCTCACCCACCGCTCACCCTGCGCTCACCCATCACTCACCCAGTGCTCACCCAGAGCTCACCCACCACTCACCCAGAGCTCGCGCTCCGTGCACGGTGCCTACGCTCACCCACCGCTCACCCAGTGCTCACCCATCACTCACCCAGTGCTCACCCAGAGCTCACCCACCACTCACCCAGTGCTCGCGCTCCGTGCACGGTGCCTACGCTCACCCACCGCTCACCCAGTGCTCACCCATCACTCACCCAGTGCTCACCCAGAGCTCACCCACCACTCACCCAGAGCTCGCGCTCCGTGCACGGTGCCTACGCTCACCCACCGCTCACCCAGTGCTCACCCATCACTCACCCAGTGCTCACCCAGAGCTCACCCACCACTCACCCAGAGCTCGCGCTCCGTGCACGGTGCCTACGCTCACCCACCGCTCACCCAGTGCTCACCCATCACTCACCCAGTGCTCACCCAGAGCTCACCCACCACTCACCCAGTGCTCGCGCTCCGTGCACGGTGCCTACGCTCACCCACCGCTCACCCAGTGCTCACCCATCACTCACCCAGTGCTCACCCAGAGCTCACCCACCACTCACCCAGAGCTCGCGCTCCGTGCACGGTGCCTACGCTCACCCACCGCTCACCCAGTGCTCACCCATCACTCACCCAGTGCTCACCCAGAGCTCACCCACCACTCACCCAGAGCTCGCGCTCCGTGCACGGTGCCTACGCTCACCCACCGCTCACCCAGTGCTCACCCATCACTCACCCAGTGCTCACCCAGAGCTCACCCACCACTCACCCAGAGCTCGCGCTCCGTGCACGGTGCCTACGCTCACCCACCGCTCACCCAGTGCTCACCCATCACTCACCCAGTGCTCACCCAGAGCTCACCCACCACTCACCCAGTGCTCACCCATCACTCACCCAGTGCTCACCCAGAGCTCACCCACCACTCACCCAGAGCTCGCGCTCCGTGCACGGTGCCTACGCTCACCCACCGCTCACCCAGTGCTCACCCAGAGCTCACCCAGTGCTCACCCAGAGCTCACCCACCACTCACCCAGAGCTCGCGCTCCGTGCACGGTGCCTACGCTCACCCACCGCTCACCCTGCGCTCACCCTACGCTCACCCAGTGCTCACCCAGAGCTCACCCACCACTCACCCAGAGCTCGCGCTCCGTGCACGGTGCCTACGCTCACCCACCGCTCACCCAGTGCTCACCCATCACTCACCCAGTGCTCACCCAGAGCTCACCCACCACTCACCCAGAGCTCGCGCTCCGTGCACGGTGCCTACGCTCACCCACCGCTCACCCAGTGCTCACCCATCACTCACCCAGTGCTCACCCAGAGCTCACCCACCACTCACCCAGAGCTCGCGCTCCGTGCACGGTGCCTACGCTCACCCACCGCTCACCCAGTGCTCACCCATCACTCACCCAGTGCTCACCCAGAGCTCACCCACCACTCACCCAGAGCTCGCGCTCCGTGCACGGTGCCTACGCTCACCCACCGCTCACCCAGTGCTCACCCATCACTCACCCAGTGCTCACCCAGAGCTCACCCACCACTCACCCAGTGCTCACCCATCACTCACCCAGTGCTCACCCAGAGCTCACCCACCACTCACCCAGAGCTCGCGCTCCGTGCACGGTGCCTACGCTCACCCACCGCTCACCCAGTGCTCACCCAGAGCTCACCCAGTGCTCACCCAGAGCTCACCCACCACTCACCCAGAGCTCGCGCTCCGTGCACGGTGCCTACGCTCACCCACCGCTCACCCAGTGCTCACCCATCACTCACCCAGTGCTCACCCAGAGCTCACCCACCACTCACCCAGAGCTCGCGCTCCGTGCACGGTGCCTACGCTCACCCACCGCTCACCCAGTGCTCACCCATCACTCACCCAGTGCTCACCCAGAGCTCACCCACCACTCACCCAGAGCTCGCGCTCCGTGCACGGTGCCTACGCTCACCCAACGCTCACCCAACACTCACCCAACACTCACCCAACACTCACCCAACACTCACCCAACACTCACCCAACACTCACCCAACACTCACCCAACACTCACCCACCGCTCACCCCACGCTCACCCAACACTCACCCCACGCTCACCCAACGCTCACCCTACACTCACCCAACACTCGCCCAACACTCACCCAACGCTCACCCAACGCTCACCCAACACTCACCCAACGCTCACCCACCACTCACCCACCGCTCACCCAACGCTCACCCAACACTCACCAAACACTCGCCCAACACTCACCCTATACTCACCCAACGCTCACCAAACACTCACCCAACACTCACCCAACACTCACCCACCACTCACCCACCACTCACCCTACACTCACCCAGTGCTCACCAAACACTCACCCAACGCTCACCCAACACTCACCCAACGCTCACCCAACACTCACCCAACACTCACCCAACGCTCACCCACCACTCACCCAACACTCACCAAACACTCACCCAACGCTCACCCAACACTCACCCAACGCTCACCCAACACTCACCCAACGCTCACCCAACGCTCACCCACCACTCACCCAACACTCACCCAACGCTCACCCACCACTCACCCAACACTCACCCAACGCTCACCCACCACTCACCCAACACTCACCCAACACTCACCCAACGCTCACCCACCACTCACCCACCACTCACCCAACGCTCACCCACCACTCACCCACCACTCACCCAACGCTCACCCAACACTCACCCACCACTCACCCAACGCTCACCCAACGCTCACCCACCACTCACCCAACACTCACCCAACGCTCACCCACCACTCACCCAACGCTCACCCAACACTCACCCACCACTCACCCAACGCTCACCCAACGCTCACCCACCACTCACCCAACACTCACCCAACACTCACCCAACGCTCACCCACCACTCACCCAACACTCACCCAACGCTCACCCACCACTCACCCACCACTCACCCAACGCTCACCCAACACTCACCCACCACTCACCCAACGCTCACCCAACGCTCACCCACCACTCACCCAACGCTCACCCACCACTCACCCAACACTCACCCAACACTCACCCAACGCTCACCCACCACTCACCCAACGCTCACCCAACGCTCACCCACCACTCACCCACCACTCACCCAACACTCACCCACCACTCACCCAACGCTCACCCAACGCTCACCCACCACTCACCCAACGCTCACCCAACGCTCACCCACCACTCACCCAACGCTCACCCAGCCACCGCCAGCGTTGGCTACTGCAGCCCGTGCTGCTCGCAATGGCGACTCGGTGACAAGTGCAGTCACTACAGCCGTGATGGTGGTGATGGTGGTGATGGTGGTGATGGTGGTGATGATGGTGGTGATGGTGGTGATGGTGGTGATGATGATGATGATGGTGGTGATGGTGGTGATGGTGATGGTGGTGATGGTGGTGATGGTGATGGTGGTGATGGTGGTGATGGTGGTGATGATGATGATGGTGGTGATGGTGGTGATGGTGGTGGTGGTGGTGGTGGTAGTGATGGTGGTGATGGTGGTGATGGTGGTGATGGTGGTGGTGGTAGTGATGATGGTGATGGTGGTGGTGATGATGTTGATGATGATGGTGATGATGATGGCAGTGATGATGATGGCAGTGGTGATGGTGATGATGATGATGGTGATGATGATGGCGGTGATGATGGTGGTGGTGATGATGGTGATGATGATGGTGGTGATGATGATGATGGCAGTGATGATGATGTTGATGGTGATGATGGTGATGATGATGGTGATGATGATGGTGATGATGATGGCAGTGATGATGATGGCAGTGGTGATGGTGATGATGGTGATGATGATGGTGATGGTGGTGATGATGTTGATGATGTTGACATCACAGAAGCGTGGAAGGCGGTGACTGACGGGGTGGTGATGATGTTGATGGTGATGTTGATGGTGATGATGGTGATGGTGGTAGTGATGATGATGGTGATGATGATGTTGTTGACATCACAGAAGCGTGGAAGGCGGTGACTGACGGGGTGGTGATGATGTTGATGGTGATGTTGATGGTGATGATGGTGATGGTGGTAGTGATGATGATGGTGATGATGTTGATGATAATGTTGATGATGACGATGGTGATGTTGACATCACAGAAGCGTGGAAGGCGGTGACTGACGGGGTTCTGCAGCTCAGGAAGAAGTCTTGGCAGAGGCCGGTCATCTTTGACGGTAAACCACGTGACACGTGTGTGTGTGTGTGTCTGTGTGTGTGTGTGTGTCTGTGTGTGTGTGTCTGTGTGTGTGTGTGTGTGTCTGTGTGTGTGTGTCTGTGTGTGTCACTATGTGTGTCACTGTGTGTGTGTGTCTGTGTGTGTCACTATGTGTGTCACTGTGTGTGTGTGTCTGTGTGTGTGTCACTGTGTGTGTCTGTGTGTGTGTGTCTGTGTGTGTGTTTCTGTGTGTGTCACTATGTGTGTCACTGTGTGTGTGTGTGTGTCTGTGTCACTGTGTGTGTCTGTGTGTGTGTCTGTGTGTGTCTGTGTGTGTCTGTGTGTGTCTGTGTGTGTGTGTCTGTGTGTGTGTCTGTGTGTCTATGTGTGTGTGTGTGTGTCTATGTGTGTGTCATTGTGTGTGTGTCACTGTGTGTCACTATGTGTGTGTGTGTCACTGTGTGTCTGTGTGTGTCTGTGTCTCAAGGTCTGTGTGGGGTGCGCCTGCTGGGTCTGCGCCACGACTCGGTGTGTCTGTGTGTGTGTCACTGTGTGTGTGTGTCTGTGTGTCTATGTCACTGTGTCTATGTCACTGTGTCTATGTGTGTGTGTCACTGTGTGTGTGTCACTGTGTGTGTCTATGTGTGTGTGTGTCTATGTGTCTCTAGGCCTGTGTGGGGTGCGTCTGCTGGGTTTGCGCCACGACTCGGTGTGTCTGTGTGTGTGTCACTGTGTGTGTGTGTCTGTGTGTCTATGTCACTGTGTCTATGTCACTGTGTCTATGTGTGTGTGTCACTGTGTGTGTGTCACTGTGTGTGTGTCTATGTGTGTGTGTGTCTATGTGTGTGTGTGTCTATGTGTCTCTAGGCCTGTGTGGGGTGCGTCTGCTGGGTCTGCGCCACGACTCGGTGTGTCTGTGTGTGTGTCACTGTGTGTGTGTCACTGTGTGTGTGTCACTGTGTGTGTGTCTATGTGTGTGTGTGTCTATGTGTGTGTCTCTAGGCCTGTGTGGGGTGCGTCTGCTGGGTCTGCGCCACGACTCGGTGTGTCTGTGTGTGTGTCACTGTGTGTGTGTCACTGTGTGTGTGTCTATGTGTGTGTGTGTGTCTATGTGTGTGTCTCTAGGCCTGTGTGGGGTGCGTCTGCTGGGTCTGCGCCACGACTCGGTGTGTGTGTGTGTGTGTCACTGTGTGTGTGTCACTGTGTGTGTGTCTATGTGTGTGTGTGTCTATGTGTGTGTCTCTAGGCCTGTGTGGGGTGCGTCTGCTGGGTCTGCGCCACGACTCGGTGTGTCTGTGTGTGTGTCACTGTGTGTGTGTCACTGTGTGTGTGTCACTGTGTGTGTGTCTATGTGTGTGTGTGTCTATGTGTGTGTCTCTAGGCCTGTGTGGGGTGCGTCTGCTGGGTCTGCGCCACGACTCGGTGTGTCTGTGTGTGTGTCACTGTGTGTGTGTCACTGTGTGTGTGTCTATGTGTGTGTGTGTGTGTCTATGTGTGTGTGTGTGTCTATGTGTCTCTAGGCCTGTGTGGGGTGCGTCTGCTGGGTCTGCGCCACGACTCGGTGTGTCTGTGTGTGTGTCACTGTGTGTGTGTGTCTGTGTGTCTATGTCACTGTGTCTATGTCACTGTGTCTATGTGTGTGTGTCACTGTGTGTGTGTCACTGTGTGTGTGTCTATGTGTGTGTGTGTCTATGTGTGTGTGTGTCTATGTGTCTCTAGGCCTGTGTGGGGTGCGTCTGCTGGGTCTGCACCACGACTCGGTGTGTCTGTGTGTGTGTCACTGTGTGTGTGTGTCTGTGTGTCTATGTCACTGTGTCTATGTCACTGTGTCTATGTGTGTGTGTCACTGTGTGTGTGTCTATGTGTGTGTGTGTCTATGTGTCTCTAGGCCTGTGTGGGGTGCGTCTGCTGGGTCTGCGCCACGACTCGGTGTGTCTGTGTGTGTGTCACTGTGTGTGTGTGTCTGTGTGTCTATGTCACTGTGTCTATGTCACTGTGTCTATGTGTGTGTGTCACTGTGTGTGTGTCACTGTGTGTGTGTCTATGTGTGTGTGTGTCTATGTGTGTGTGTGTCTATGTGTCTCTAGGCCTGTGTGGGGTGCGTCTGCTGGGTCTGCGCCACGACTCGGTGTGTCTGTGTGTGTGTCACTGTGTGTGTCTGTGTGTCTATGTCACTGTGTCTATGTCACTGTGTCTATGTGTGTGTGTCACTGTGTGTGTGTCACTGTGTGTGTGTCTATGTGTGTGTGTGTCTATGTGTCTCTAGGCCTGTGTGTGGTGCGTCTGCTGGGTCTGCACCACGACTCGGTGTGTCTGTGTGTGTGTCACTGTGTGTGTGTGTCTGTGTGTCTATGTCACTGTGTCTATGTCACTGTGTCTATGTGTGTGTGTCACTGTGTGTGTGTCACTGTGTGTGTGTCTATGTGTGTGTGTGTCTATGTGTCTCTAGGCCTGTGTGGGGTGCGTCTGCTGGGTCTGCGCCACGACTCGGTGTGTGTGTGTCACTGTGTGTGTGTGTCTGTGTGTCTATGTCACTGTGTCTATGTCACTGTGTCTATGTGTGTGTGTCACTGTGTGTGTGTCACTGTGTGTGTGTCTATGTGTGTGTGTGTCTATGTGTCTCTAGGCCTGTGTGGGGTGCGTCTGCTGGGTCTGCGCCACGACTCGGTGTGTCTGTGTGTGTGTCACTGTGTGTGTGTGTCTGTGTGTCTATGTCACTGTGTCTATGTCACTGTGTCTATGTGTGTGTGTCACTGTGTGTGTGTCACTGTGTGTGTGTCTATGTGTGTGTGTGTCTATGTGTCTCTAGGCCTGTGTGGGGTGCGTCTGCTGGGTCTGCGCCACGACTCGGTGTGTCTGTGTGTGTGTCACTGTGTGTGTGTGTCTGTGTGTCTATGTCACTGTGTCTATGTCACTGTGTCTATGTGTGTGTGTCACTGTGTGTGTGTCACTGTGTGTGTGTCTATGTGTGTGTGTGTCTATGTGTGTGTGTGTCTATGTGTCTCTAGGCCTGTGTGGGGTGCGTCTGCTGGGTCTGCGCCACGACTCGGTGTGTCTGTGTGTGTGTCACTGTGTGTGTGTGTCTGTGTGTCTATGTCACTGTGTCTATGTCACTGTGTCTATGTGTGTGTGTCACTGTGTGTGTGTCACTGTGTGTGTGTCTATGTGTGTGTGTGTCTATGTGTCTCTAGCGGTAGTGTAGCGGTTAGCGCGCTGCGCTATGAACCTGGCGACCCGGGTTCGATTCCCGCTCACGGCTAACACCAGTGACGATTATCTGAACCGGTCCTGGGCCTCCCCTAGGTCGACTCAGCCTTAAATGAGTACCTGGTGCGGTGTGTAAACATCGCCACTAGGGAGACAAAGGCGGTCGGGCGTGGTGCTGGCCACCCACCCCCTCGTGTACCGTTCCGGCCTTCATAGGTGCTCGCTAACAGCACTTGCCCCTACAGTCTGTTCAGGCTATACGGGGGATCTTTGTGTCTATGTGTGTGTGTGTGTCTATGTGTGTGTCTCTAGGCCTGTGTGGGGTGCGTCTGCTGGGTCTGCGCCACGACTCGGTGTGTCTGTGTGTGTGTCACTGTGTGTGTGTCACTGTGTGTGTGTCTATGTGTGTGTGTCACTGTGTGTGTGTCACTGTGTGTGTGTCTATGTGTGTGTGTGTCTATGTGTGTGTCTCTAGGCCTGTGTGGGGTGCGTCTGCTGGGTCTGCGCCACGACTCGGTGTGTCTGTGTGTGTGTCACTGTGTGTGTGTCACTGTGTGTGTGTCTATGTGTGTGTGTGTGTCTATGTGTGTGTCTCTAGGCCTGTGTGGGGTGCGTCTGCTGGGTCTGCGCCACGACTCGGTGTGTCTGTGTGTGTGTCACTGTGTGTGTGTCACTGTGTGTGTGTCTATGTGTGTGTGTCACTGTGTGTGTGTCACTGTGTGTGTGTCTATGTGTGTGTGTGTCTATGTGTGTGTCTCTAGGCCTGTGTGGGGTGCGTCTGCTGGGTCTGCGCCACGACTCGGTGTGTCTGTGTGTGTGTCACTGTGTGTGTGTCACTGTGTGTGTGTCTATGTGTGTGTGTCACTGTGTGTGTGTCACTGTGTGTGTGTCTATGTGTGTGTGTGTCTATGTGTGTGTCTCTAGGCCTGTGTGGGGTGCGTCTGCTGGGTCTGCGCCACGACTCGGTCTGCTTTCTGCTGGAGCAGCTTCCCGGCTCGTCTCGCTGCTGCGACCACAAGTTTCGCTTTCACCGCCGCGGCGACGCCAACGCCGCCCTGCCGCTCAACGCCAGCGGCACCGCTCGCACTGAGCCCTTCGCCAGGTGGTGCCAGGCTAGGTGCACGCACTCACACGCACAGACACACACACAGACACACACACGCAGACACACGCACAGAGACACACAGAGACACACACACAGACACACACAGATACACTCAAGCAGACACAGACACACACACACGCAGACACACGCGCGCAGACACACAGACACACAGACACGCACAGACACACACGCACAGACATGCACAGACACACGCACGCAGACACGCACAGACACACGCAGACACACGCACACACGCACGCAGACACATGCACACGCACGCAGACACACGCACACACGCGCAGACACAGACACACATACGGAGACACTCACGCAGACACACACTCTGCTACACGCACACACTCACACACAGGTTCAGCTTCCTGGTGTCTGTGTCTGTGTGTCTCTGTGTGTGTCTATGCTAACGGTGTCTCTGTGTGTGTGTCTGTGTGTGTGTATGTGTGTGTCTCTGTGTGTGTCTCTGTGTGTCTGTCTGTGTGTGTGTCTCTGTGTGTCTGTGTGTTTGTGTGTGTCTATGCTAATGGTTTCTCTGTGTCTC